TTCAAGAAAGATTATGTTGTCAGAAGAAATGGTAACAGGATAAGGACTAATAAAAATGACTACTCATAGGAAAAGAACAAAGAAATGGACCTTGTAACTCATTTACATTCTTAAAAATAAATAAAAACAAGTTTAATTCAAGTAGATAAAACGCAAGCAATCCTTAAAATTTTAATACTAATGGAAGAAAACAAAGCTGGATATATCAAGCATAAAACATGGACAAAGAACTCTTCCCAATGACCTTTAAAAATAATGTTTTCTGGTACCACCCTCATGGAATATGTTCTAAGGGGACAAACAAACAAAACCCACAAAAACAAACAAGGCAAAAAGAGAAAACTATGTTTTATTTAAAAAACCCAAACCAATTTACTTTTAAAATATTTTATTTAATATTTATACATGCATATAATGTATTATATTATTCTTCCACTATCCCACCAACACTCCATGTTCTCTCTCTCTCTCTCTCTCTCTCTCTCTCTCTCTCAACTTAGTATTCCCTGTATGTGCATGGGTATGGGACCATCTACTGGGCCATGGGTAGCTACTCAAGACCTGTAACAACTTACTTTAAAGAGCCAAGAGCTGTAAATGAATATGGTTACTTACCCAATAGTATATATAATAACTAAGATTTTAGTGTTAAAAGTGAAAGTATATAATATAAAATCAAATAACTTGTGTTATTCTCTTAAAAATACATTAATGACATTGGTATTTCCAACACCCATTTAATATTGTAGTTTATTTTCCAATTACCATTTTTTCTTCTATTATGACCCAGAACCAGTAATGACTAGCAGTGAGCTATTATCAGATGACATTAAAGAGTTATATACTTGGTTCAGCCCCTATGGAAAGCAGTGTGGAGAACTCTTAAAAAACTACAAATGAACCTACCATTTGACCAAATTACACCACTCCTTGGCATATACCAAAAGAACTTGTCTTATTGCAGAGACACTTGTACATCCATGTTTGTTGCTGCTCTTTTCACAATAGCTAAGAGATGGAAGCAACCTAGGTGTCCCTCAATTGATGAGTGGATAATGAAAATGTGGTTCATATATACGATGGAATTTTACTCAACAGTAAGAAAAAATGAAATTCTGGAGTTTGCAGGTAAATGGATGGAGCTAGAGAGTGTTATACCAAGTGAAGTAACACAAATACAGAAAAGCAAGCAAAGTATGT